ATGTGGAAGGTCCAGTCAGGATATTTAGTTTTAATATTTTATACTTTTTTTAAGCAAAAATATTATTTTCACACTGTTTATGTTTTTAGCATGTTGTGGAAGTGATGTTTCACATATTTTGCAAAGTGTGAATCAAGTTTAAGGTTGCACTATATATCAACAATAAGCTTGAGCTCTCTGTCATTGGCTCTATTTATAGAGGTTCACATAAACCGAAAATTGCATTCAATAGTGACATTCATGTTACCGAACTGAGTTGGCACATGACGATAGACAGTCAGGACCGAGATTTGCTGCCTGAACACACAAGACACAACCAAAATCACACCCTCAGTGGTGAATTTAAGAGAACATATACTGATTCATACTAGTATGACTTTGCAATGGACGGAAGTGCAGCTAGATATTATTGGATGCTGTAGTAATGTATGAAATGAATGCAGAACGTTGTCAGCAATGCATATTTATGTGCTGCTGCAACCGGTTTCTTTTTGCAATGATACATCAAAGAGAAAAAATAACTGTACCGGTAATCCTTATTTTTGGAAAACAAGGTAATTTGTTTTGCTAAAATATTCGACAGTGCACAAATTTTGCAAGTTTAACCGAGCCATCAACAGAGGGCGCTGTGCAGTGGGAAAAAAACGATCCACACTTTTTTGGGTGGTGCTCACACTGACCAGAAAGTTCTACAGTTCTTAAGTGAATCAGAATTATACAAGTACAAGTAAACCAAAGTTGAAATGTAGGTATTTTATTATTAATTAAGTTTCCGTCAGTTTACCAGTCTGGTGAATACCATCATCTTTTCAGCAAAAATTTTGTTTCAACATTTTTGCACAACTATATTAAGTATTTTTATGTATGTTAATTTTGGTATAGGTTTGGATTAAAAGTGTTAAATAATAAAATAAATTCTTCTGGTTAAATCACTACAGTCGTCACACATGTTCGATATGGGACCCACAGCGATGTATACAACGTAGTAAGTACATTGTTTGTTTACATGAAATTCCAACATATACTGTGTGACAATTGTGAAGACTACAAAAGTTGAAACAATAATAGTTACCAACATGCAAAGCGCAATGTTGCTATAACAGTTTAACATTTGAAATTTTATAATACTGTGAGATACTTTATTTTCACTTGGAATTAATTTTCGCTGAAGGGGTGATTCAGTGAAAATAAAATACAGCGAATATAGCTTATTTCCTATATTTTACATTCAACTCACCAAAAATCAGTGAAAATAAATTGCATACAAAACACCCAAAAAGTCTTTTCAGCGAAAATTAATTCCAGCTTAAATAAAGTATTTTACAGTATAATTACACCCTTACCAGAAGTTGTTCATCACCAGTATCCAGGACATTATCACCATCGGAAGACACAGAATGGCTGTCTTCATTATCGGACGGTTCTTCAATTTCTTCTACATATGCAGTCTGTGTTACGTCAGCTACACCGTCCACATACGTTGTCTGCTCTACATTCGCCATTGTAGCAGTCACAATCTGTAGATCCTCCTCACTGTTTGGTAGCAAATCAAGGTCATCTGGCTGATTGGTAAATCAAAATCTCACTTTAACCCATTGAATGCCTTTTTTTTGTGGAGCCAAGAATTTGATGCAATATTTTGCAAATTTTTATGTAATTTTCAAGAATTTATTTTTTAATTTTGGACCAACAAGTTATAATTTTCTTTTATTGACAAGTCTTGGACATGGAAAAAATGATGTGGGTTTAATTTTGGATCAATTAGATATAATTTCCTTTTACGGACAGGTTCTGGACAATATTTTTTTTTATATATGGAAAATTAGTTCAGTGTTCTAAAAGTTAAAACTATTTAAACTGCTTTTGCTATAATACGCTTTGTAGTATGTACTACCCGGCACTGGTAGTACATGTATAAAGCGAGAAAAACATGTGGGGGGGGGGATGCATTTTCTCTCAGAGATGACTTGGTGTACTTTATTGGTTTTCTATTCCGTATGATCTGCAGAGAAACCTCTCACTGACACCTGTGAGCATTGTTAGGGCTTTAGGTTTTGTGAAGTCCATGAGAAAGCTCATTTAACAGAACCCCGAAATGGAATTAAAAAGATTTTAAAATTAAGCAAAAGGGCCTTGAGTGATTACAACAATAAGAATCACCTTTTAATTGGTAATTAAACACCATGACCTTCAATATTCCAATATTTTAGGATTTATAATTTTTCACGGTGATCATGATACTCAGTGGGAAGTGTTCTGCAGATAATACAAAGTGGGAAGGCAATTTTAAAATGATGCTTACTATTAAATACTAAAAAGAGTTCAGGTAAAATGACATGTATTCAATTTTTGATTACAGCCAGATAAAAGTGTTTTGGTAGTCATGATCTTCTGGAAGAAGACTGAGCGCAATCAAAAAATGAAAAAATTGATCATAATGATGCAATAAACAGAATTTAAATATTAAATAATTGAAACTTAGAATTTGTTTTTCGAACATGCAATAAATGCTGTATTTTGTTGGATTATTCAATAGTTGAAAATCAAAAGCGACACATATTTTGGGATGATAATATCAGAATGTGTTCAATATATATAAAAATTAAAATTTTTCATATCAATTTCGGACTTGCAATAAATCGTCGAGTTTGGTGTTCGGAATTAAACAGGTTGTTTATCATTACACATACATATTGAATGCACGCAGAACATATTTTTATTAAATTCAATTTATGCCATGATGTTAATATAGTATTCCCTGTTCCAGTATTGTCACATTGCACATATACAAATAGTGATGAAGAATCATATGCGATGAATGCATTTCATCGTTTTGCCATTAGTTTTAAAATAAAACTGAATAAAATGGTTCAGAACCTCAAAACAATTGTTGATATTTAGTTATTCAATCCCTCAATCACCAGAAATAAGGCCTGTGCACATTGCATTGAACTGGTTGATTCTATAGTAGCAACTGCAACACCATGACAATGAGATAAGATACAATATATTCCAGGATGACAATGAATGACAGTACATATTAGCAATAATAAAGCATAGCATAGCACAGTACTGGGAAACGTGACTGTGGTAACAAAACCACACACTGGCCGAAAATAATTGCTTTTTACAATGTCTTAAACCTAGATAGCAAACGTGACAGTATTACCAACACTCAATGACATGATAACAAGTTTTTTCATCGAGAAAACTGTAAAACATCTTTGTTTTGATCAGTAATGTGAAATCAAGGTATATGTGCATAGACAGGTTTCAGATTCTATTCTGATTTATATTAATAAAGACAATTTTAACTATAATTACGTTCTTGAGAAAACAATTTGCATGCATCTTCCAAAAATACGTTTAATTAAAATTATAATCCAAAATTCAATGCATAGATCAAAAGATTTCTCAAACCCCAGTATACCTTGCAATTCCACAAATTAAGGCCGCAGGACTTGTCACAATAAAATCAATAAAATAAATAAACTTACATTTTGGCCGAACTGAAAATACAACGGTCATAATAGGCTTGTTATGATTATTAAGCTGGATTTATAATGAATCACCTTGTCTTTTGGCAATATCTTCTTTTATTCTCCTTCATAACATGTATTCTTGATGAACACCAAATATCTATTTCAATATATCTTTGATAGGTGTTCTGATGAATTCTTGTGGGGGTAGGTTCATGTACAGCCTAGCGTACAAGTAACACATGTGCAACACTTATTATACACGCAAGACACGTATTTAGTAAACGATATTATAATATGCAGTAGCGAAGTTAGCAAATTTAGTATAAATTTAATAGTGAAGTAATTTCCTATTATTCAACCTTTTTTCAATCTCGCTGGGAGTTAATTAAGTTTAAGTATACATAATGCAAGGTACTGTTGCCATGCTCTTGTGTCTAACTCTACTTGTAAATGTAACAATTGCAGCTAATGATAACATTGAGAGTAGGATTCTCCACTGTCGGCTACAGAATCCATCTGGGTAAATAAATATATTTGCTCAATTACGCAGGCATCTACAATATTACAGAAGTCGTAAGCAATCCAGTTAAATGCAAATGTAGATTAAAGTTTTGTTTGTTGGTTTTAAATAAAACTATAACATTTATATGGAAAAGAAACATTTTGCAAAATTTCCAAATATTGCTCAGTTTTAATAGTTTGTAAAATCCTGTGCATTAACTATACACCGCCTCTAACTATGTTGATTTGAGTCAGTTAATTATATAAGTTGGAAAGATCATTCTGTCTTATAAAAATAACACTGTCATTGTTTATGTTAACTGTATAATAGATGCTTAATGGACCAAAAAGGATTTCCAGGGGTTTTTCTAGAAAAAAACTGAAAAAGGGAGCACTGCAATTCAGCGGCGCCACCAAGTGAGGGAGATAGGGTTCTCCCTACCAGGGTGTGGAGTTTTCGATAATTCATTCTAAGTTAAAATGGAGCATT